AGAGAGAGAGAGAGAGAGAGAGAGAGAGAGAGAGAGAGAGAGAGAGAGAAAGAGAGAGAGAGAGAGAAAGAAAAAGAGAGATACAGTAAAATTGTTAGCATGGAAATTTTAATAATTATAGTTATCTTGCGGTAAGTAATTAATGACAGGTGCTAGCAATCAATTTTATTTACATATAGTTGTCATTCCTGTAGAGAAGCTTAGTATGAACGAAAGAAGTGAATTCGAATTTTTTAACATAACCTTTCCCATAAGATTCCAAATGAGCTAATGCTGATAGGAGGGAAATGAATTTCCGCTCATATGCTTACCGGAAATCTACTCTCCTCATCAACGGATTTCTTCAATACTTTTGTACGATGAATGATGGCTAGGGATTCTCTATAAAATATCAAAAATAACCTGAACAACATTTCTTCAGCATAGTTACTGAAAACGATGAAAAATGAAAAACCTAAACTTTCGTACAATTTATGTCACCGAAGTTGATTCTTTTTCATAGCTTACACCTTCGAACAAACACTTTCAAATGAAATATCATAAAATGTTGAGAGTTTCACTAATAATCATCATCTTGATGCTTTCTTTCTTTTACGAACTAAGATGGAGTAAAGAGAAGACAGTTGTTTTTTTCCGAATCGTGATTGGGAACTGCATAAGAAATCTGTGTGAAGCGGATTATATCATATTTAGTAATTACTTTTTATAACGATGCTTATTAGTTGTGCGATTTCTTAATGATCCGTCAGAAGTTCGATAATTATTTTGTTGGAGAACATTCTAAGAACTGTAATTTTTTGCTGGCTTGCCTTGAATTTGCTGTCAGCTTCATGGTAGAATGTTACTAAGTAATATAGATAAAATATTGATTGTTACTCTTATCATTCTAATAGAAATATAACTTCTTGTAGATTTTGAAATGTTATCAACTGACAATGACGTGTCCCTCTCACACTCTTTTTTAGAAAAAATTATTCAAAAAAGTATCCTTTATTCAGATGGTTCATGTGTTTCTACTGGATCGCAGTAATCTCAATTACTACACATGTTGCGGAAGGATTCATGTGAAGGTAATAGCATGCATATATATCTTCGTTTTGTTTATATATTTCAGTTGGCACTCTTGGGTCTTATTGTTTTTTCTATTATTTTGCAAATCATCGATTTGATTGCTCTTTTTCAAAGTGAAGCTACTAAAACCGTTATAACATTTCAAGTGAGTTTTTGAAGTCAATCATTTGTGAGCTCTACTTCACAGATCATGGAGATAATCATGATCCCATGCAATATTATGGCTCTTACGAAGGAAAAGGCAGGCTATCTTATCCCATTCATGTTTCAAATGGTTAGTGTATAGCTGCAGCTATATAACTTCTCTTTTTTTTCAGTTTTTAGCTTTTCTTGGTGCTGCTCTTACATCCTTCCGTGTGGCCATAAGTATTCTCATTCCAAATTCGATAGCTGCTAAGGATTTTCTCGAGATCGAGCCTAGCTTCTTTGGATATTTCTCAGGTTTTCATACCTGAACTCTTATGATTCCTGAATTATTTAAGCCCTCCTCCTCCTGGCAGTATTAGTAACTTTAACGACTTTTTTCGCTTGGAGTCTTCATGTCATTTTGAGCTGCCACAAATATTTCGAAGATAAAACAGCAGAAAGAGCAACATTTGCTAATCGGTTGAATTTCAATGTCGAGGTTTGAACTCAGTTTCATAAAATCTTTTTATTATTTTTTTTAGAAAGACAGTTCTGATACATCTGAAAATGTTCAACCTAACACCTCTCGAGACTCCTCCTTCGGAAATCCAAACTTCGATATTGAAGGAGATGAAAATATTTTCCCGACCAAGAGTGTTGGTCCGGTTATGGTTTAATAATATGAATCACATTATGAAGTTAATTTTTAAATAGAAAAAGGTTCATTATATAACATATTGAGATGGTATTATATGGAAATAACATTAGGGAAAACTTTGAAATATTTCCTATGAAGTTTTCGAATAATAAGCTAATCAGACGAAGAAAGCTGTTAACAGCATTAGAGCTGCGTAACTTGCAACCAATAACCAAGAGAATACCTAAACATCAAAATATATCACTCGAAATGTAGTAGAAACAATCAAACTCACTGTAACTGCTATGAATCGAGACTTCAAGAAAGATTCCCTTGTGAACTTGGTACTATACCACGTTTCCAGAGAGGCTGCGATGATGAGGGCAACAAGACAAATACCATATAGGATTATCAACTTAATGAACTCTTTGTTTCCACTCTTCAGAGAAAACATACCTTTGCTTTTCCTAATTGTCCGAGAACATCTTTTTCAAACAAATTTGATAAGAATATTAGTAATGCGAAAACCCAAGTGACAAAAAGTATAATAAGAATCAGCGTCTGCCATCCGAAACCCTGAATAGGAAAAAGGTCAATTATTGACTAGTTTCATGTGATAACTTACACTAAAAATAAATTGGAAATAGAGGTTTCCTGCAGTCCATATGAAAGAACAAGCGAATAGAGCAGCAAATCCCAAACACTGAAAAATTTGAAAATATATAAGAAATGGAATAGTTTTACTCAAAAGTTCTATTTATTCAAGATTTTCATTCATTTCTAGCTTAAGTAAATAATAAGTTTTAATATTTGCATTAAATTTATATAGTTTTAATGTTAAATTTCTGTATATGACTCACAACTTGTAAAAGGTTAAGAAAGCCTTGAAGTGTTCGCAGAAATTCGAAATTCATATCTGTAAATTAAAAAGTAAAATTAGAAAGTGATCTTTTGAAAGTGAGTCATAGGAGAGAAGAATATGATGATGATGATGATGAATGAAATGTTTCAGAAGCGGGTACCTTCTCTACCTCATGATAAATATTAGCTCTTCAAATAATGTATTTCACAAATAGTCTCTTCAGCAATCAATCGGATAATAAAATATTTCATCTCATTTATGAAATTCAGGAAAAATTATCATTTTAGTTTGTATTCATGAAGCGATCAGCTCAGAAGAAAGAAGAAGAGCGCTTATGTTTTATAAGAAAAAATTATAGGAAAATAAACTTCTCAAGCTCGGAAGAAGTGAATTAAACTTTTTGTCAGTGCAATACGAGCTTAATACAACCAAAAATGATGGGAATGCCGTCGTAGAAAGTGTTGGTGACAAGACGAAATTTCCTTCGACAGGTTGAGAGCTATCTAACCGGAAAGAAAGAACAAACAAAATCGATTTCTTACATCAGAGCCCACTCCATGACTCATTTTAGGGAGGAGAGCAAGATAGGGAATTTAATGAAAGTTTATAGAGAGTATTAGGAAGACCTGAAAAATTATGAAGGAAATATGATACTGCAGCAGTGTCGTATGCAAGAATAAGACGCTGGAAGGTAGAAAGAAGAGAATTTTATTTGTTTAATTGAACTATATATGTATGGGAGAGGCAGGAAGAGTTTTGTTGTAGAAGGCATATGATAAGAAAAAGGTCGTTTGAAAACAATCGCTCTCTTTTCCTTCTGACAAAGTTTTACATTCAAATTAATGTTGAGTAAGAGTTGATAAGATGTGAGTTTGCAAACATTGTCTTTATATGTTTATATATGTGTATATCTGTTCAGAACAATCTATTATCTTTATATTATACATTAATCGATACACCACTGATATATTTCTTCCATTCACATTTGCTCTGTGGTTCATTCGGTATTTATCAATAAAACAATGAAAACGTGCAGTAAAACAAACAAGCATTATTTTCCAATATGAGTTTGTAATTCATCTTTGTTTCTTAATAATTTTCCGCCTGTTCTCATTTATCTGGCTGTAATTGTTTTCTCTTTCGAAGTACAACTTTTACAAACTTGTGGCAGGAGTCATTCAGTCTACATAGCCAACTAACACTTTATTCTAAATTTATGTTCTGATTTGGGAAGAATCTTTATTCGGCAATGAAAATAACTTGATTAATCAGACATATCAATTTTCCATTACTGTGAAGGTAATTTGTGTATATGAATAAGTTGTAGATTGTAAAATGTGTACGTGGGCGGAGACTGATATTTCGTAAATGATTACATTTCTTTTCAACATATTCCTTGATTTGCACAATGCTTCTAACAGATGTGTATGCTTCTACATCAACTTACAGCTATTGGTATATCTATTGGATTCACTTTTGGCTTGTTTGGTAATATTGTACTGTTAATATTAACTTCTTAGCATACCCATTCCCGAGACAAGTCAGGTAATGAATGAAGCCTCAGAGTAATCATATCAGAATGGCGCTCTACTCGCTGCGAAATAGACACTTCTGTGGTCATTTCACTCTATCTTTTTATACCGAACGGTTGTATATTCAGGATGTTTACTTGCGATAACGGCAATTGCTCATCAAGTTTGTCTATTCCCTGAACTTGTTCACGCATATACTCTTACGAAATATCATTTCATTTCTCGAGTTCTACGTTTTAACCTCATCTTCCCGCAACTTAATGCTCATATTTCCGATCCCTCTTTTGTCATGATGGTGGACCTGTTGTTCACAATGGTATTCCTCATGAAGTACTACTACCACACTACTACAAACATCCAAATCATCTGTTTCAGATACCATTCTGACTCAACTAAAAATTACTTAGGAAGCCTTCTACTACTTCCCTTTGTTTATACAATATCATTCCAATATCCCGCTGTTCTTAACTTGATAGATGATGATACATATTTGCAATACTCTATTTGGTGATTATCCTTTCAACCAGTTATTGGATACCGGATAACAACGGTCAATGTTTCATTTTCTAGTACTCACTTCTCGTGCTCTTTCCGGGGCAAGATATACCCCTAATACTGTAGTCATAACTGTCACCGTCTGTGTGTATTTAGTGACGCTCTACTGTTTCCGAAACACTGTTTCGAAAAGCGTACGCAAGTTACAGGTAGACTAGTTGATACAGATAGAAGAAAGTAGATTTTTTATATAGCAAAGCATGATGCATATGTTGAACAAGTTAAGAAACAAGTTGGAAGAACAGCTTCTTTGTTCGTTTGTTTATGGTATATTACTTCTTTTTGATTAAGTATCATGCATTGGTTTAAACTAATGCAAAGTATGGATCCTGAAACGCCATCAGTTTTAGTGAGGTTTTTTGAGTTTGACTTGGAAAACTATACTTCTGATTCAAGATGTTTATTTCTGCTGTTTGTTATTCACAGAATTATTATATTTTCATTTAGGGATCGGAGAGCTATAGAAAAGCTTCCATTGACCTTTTCTTTTGTAAAAAAAAACAAGATGAAATTCCATTTAGCATCTTTTAGAAATATAGTCTCAAAGTTCTAATCCTGAATCGATGTCTGAATCTGGAGTAAGGAAATGACAGCGGCTTGTATGTACACTCAATCGACTCGGTGTCTAGTCGATCGAAACTTTCAGTGTCAAAAGTCGAGTTTTTAATTCAATCTAATTTTTTTTTAATTTTGAGAATTCGACTGAGTCGTATGTTTTCTTCTTTTCGATAGTTGCAAAACATGAACGTGCCGTGTCGAAAATAACAGTAGATCGAGTCGAATGTCGAATTTTTGGGTGATTCGACTGAGTCGAAAGTCGAAAGTCGAATTTTTGATAACTCGACAAAGTCGAATGAGACGAACGTGTCGATAGTCGATCGAATGCCTAAGTATAGTACATACATTTATCATCAATGATGTGATTGGTAATCGTTAATTCCATATTTTCGTTCGCGCAACCTTTCCACGCAATATTACTCACTAAGAAAGATCATTTGCAACTGAAGATGAGATTTGAAAATATCATTAAACGAGAAGCTAAGTATCCAAATCAGATAATATAACTTAAAATAAAATGTTATTGACTATTTGGACAAATGAATAAATAACTCAAATCCTTTCTCTATCAAAAAGCGTAAAACACTGGTATAAAACGAGAAATCACTCGGCTAGAATGAAAAGAACCTATCACAATAAATATTAAACGAGTAATACATATGTGAGAGATATGAGAGTAAAATTCACTAACATCATAAGAAAGCTCTTACGTAGTAAGTACATCGAATTCAATATATTAAATTGTATTGTTTTGTATTTTTTCTGTTATTTAGGGTTTATAAGAAATTCGTTTAAGCTTGAGAAACAATTCAAGTGAATTTATGAGCTTCTAACTCGATATGAGAATGCTCTCCCCGAAAGAAGACCACAGGATTATGAAAAACATAAGATTTGGAATGAAAAGCTGAAGAAAAGTATTAATATACTGAATAAGTTCCTAAACCAGGAAATGGTAGAGTGAAAGATTTTGAACACGTTCTCTTCAGAATACCCGATTTTTTCAAAAATCTCAAACAACAGCCCAACGAGAGTCTTCTTCGGGATCAGAATCGCTTAAAGGAACGGATCCAGGTTGAGCTTGTATTATTCGAGTTCTTGGTCCTCCATCTTGTGTATATACTACTGTATTGGCAGGGTGACCATATCTTCGTATGGGTGGTGGACTGCGTTGATACCCGGGAAACATAGACTAAAATCAAAATTTTTCTGAATCAAAGAAGCGAAAAAGTGACTGAAACATAGTTTTCTGCATTACGCACTTCGTTACCAGCCGGACTTGGAGATGGAATATCACAAAATGCCGAGCTTCTTGGAGTGAAATAACTGTGGTTAGATCTCGGTGACACAAGAGGCGAGGATTGATAGGCTGTTCCAGGTTGATAGCTTGATAGCCCTGATGAATACGCATTCGAAGGCCCTGTAGAATATCCTGGAAAATCTACAGTATCCATGAAGGTACCATTACTTTTCATACCGTATGGATCTAAATCGCGCTGATATGGATACCCTGGGTCATAGGGAGCACCACTGGGCATACTTCCTATTAAAGGTAATCGCCTTTGTCTTATCGCGGCTGGCATAGGTTCTTCATCTTCACTCAACTGAGCTGATGAACTATCTTGAAAGAAATTAATAAAAAAATAGAATTGCAATGTTCAACCTGGATATCTATTAAATGGTCCAGCGCTTGGTCGACGATACGCATCGTTCGTACTCGGGCTGTCTTCAGAATAAATAGGGCTACGGTTATATGCCAATCGCTGAGTTCCGAAAGCTCCACCAAATCCTCCAGGGTTTCCCGATCTGCCATAAGCTGATGATGGCTTATCATAATAAAGGTTCGAAGGGCGTTGCCGTGTTTGGTTTCGGCGCCCTATTGGATCGCGAACAGTCATTGGGTACCCAGTGCGAGATGACGGGGGCGAATCAGAGTATTCTAAACATTTCAGCGGTTCATTAAGTGCTTGAGGGTGTATCTCACCATTTCTGTACATATGATTCCTGTCAGCTGGACTAGGGGGACTTCCATTTCTTCCTACAGACCTATACCTTGGTGAAGGAGATCGGGATCTATGGCCAGCAGGTAAAAGTTGCTCGGTCTAAAAACATAATTTGTAAACAGACAATTTTGATTTCGCTCGCAACTATTGAAGCCAAACTCTATTTGAACATATATAAATCTTGTATATTCGATTACTATTAACACAACATGCACATATTGACTTTGATTCTCCTTCACGCAATTCCAACTTCAATTAACAACAGGATCAGGTGTTGGTGGAGGAACAAAAAGCGATAAAGGGAAAATAAAACAAAACAAACGCAAAAACTTAGAGAACACTTGTAGCATTTCAGACTTTCTCCTTTAGGAGCGAATGGTGAGGAAAAAAACGTGCATCACATGCAAGGAAGTTACGACCGTACCTCTTCGTATCTGGAGTCATGACTGCGTCCATAGAAACGATGTGAATAAGGCTATAAACGAAAAAAACCAATGTGGAACTAAGTGTATATAAAGAAGAATCTTTTTTTGATTAAGATTTGAAAATGCTAGAAATAAGGCTTAAGCGTAAAGTTGTGGTTAACATGGAAGTAAATATATTAGTTACGGGAGGATAAATTGAGTGAAGTGTGATATTGATAGAAATCACAGACAGATAGTACATGAAGATGAAAGAGAAAAAGAAGCACAAGGTGATGCAAGCACGTTTGACTAAGTGAAGTTAACTGGGAGCGACGTATCGCTCTAGTGCTTTTATTTTTTAAAATTTTTTTCATTCAGTAGTGTATCATTTGAATGTAAGTGTACCTGAGGGTGCTCAGTGTGAGAGGTCGTTCCTCTCCTTATTCGCGAAAACATATCAGAGAGACGCCGACCTGTTGAACCAACTTTTGCGTCTCTGAAAGTTTAAAGTTTATTACTGCTAGAACAACTTTCTGTTCTCACGTATTCTCGGCTTGATAAGCTGTGGGAGTTGATTCTCCTTCATCACTGTTTTTGGACTTTATGCTGTCGACGAGCGTGTTAAACAGGGAGTACGGCCTCTGAAAAAACAGATCTTTTTAAAAAAGACTCAACAGGAAAGCTTACGTTTCCATTATGTATGCTGGATGGCTGCTGATATGAGGGCACAAGAGAGCTTGTTTCATTTGGTTGTTCTTGCAGTGCAATATTATGACTAGCAGATTCTGAAGGAGGTATGGCTGTTGTACTAGCACCAGACGTGGGAGCTGTATGTTGTTGTGCTCCAGCTGCTTTAGCAGCAGCATTGACAAGAGAACGTAAACCTCCACCGAACAGACCAACCCCACCGACCTGAACAAAATCAAATTATTATTCAAAGAGGACGCTGAATAATGGGAGAATGGTTTGGACAAGTGCATTAGCCAGGTAATTGAAAGGATAAATAGTATACCAAATTCAGCTATAAAAAACGGTTATAGCCAAAATAGCAATAAATACTCCATTTGCATTACAAAAATAAAAATATCATTTGGAAAAAGTTGTGTTGGATCAAAAATGTCATGCTCTGCGCAGTCTATTCAGTGGGACCTGTTCAGAACTATCTGCTGAGCTAGCCCAACGAAACAAAGCATTCCGCCTTCGATGCAGAATGAGAGCTGTTCGTTCACGTTTTCGAACTTCAAGCTGAAACCGGTTTCATGTTGCTTGAAAATATATTAATTAATCGAGCTTCTTCGTTGTTACAAGATTTACATATCAATTCATTTCTAGGCGTATCTTCTCTTTTTTTTTCCTCTTTCCTTTTCTGCAATTACCTCAGTTCCACTCTTTTTCGCCTTCCAATTTTCCAGAATAAGAAGACCAGCATAAATTTTTCCGACGGTTAGTTTTTGGAAGCAGAGCTCTGCAATCAAATGAATAAAAATCATAAGTAATTGCACCTTACCAGCATTAGGTGGAACAACAAGATCAATCATGTTCTTCTTAGCTTTCAAAGGCCAAATCTTCTTCAAAGTTTGTCTTAACTCTTCGTCTGCCTCATCCATTTCTTCAACTGCAGTATAACGATATCAAATAAGTTGAGCTGTGATCATCTCACCAGGTCTCATTTTAATACTCAAACTTTCACGAATCAGAGCAAAAAGAGTTGTTGAGAAATGAACAGTTCCATCTTCCGAAACGGGCATATTCATCCGTATCAAGTGTTTATAAGCTAAGCGGTATGGACATTTTCTTCCAAATCCTACAGGCGGGGCAATATTCCTCAGCATATCGTACATATCAGTGTAATGTATTCTTCCTCTTAAGTATATAATAATAATATGGCAAATATAATAAGAATCTCACGTCGCTGCTGGGTCGTAGTCAGCCCAAACTCTAATAAATTCGTCCAAGTGATGAGGACCAAGTATAGATGAATCTCTGGTTAAGTAATCAAAGTTATCCATAATAACGGCAACGAATAAATTCAACATCTGAGAATCAAAGTTCGATAGAATCATTCGAAAACAATTACCAAAAATGAAGATAAAAACACAAAAGATGTGAAGTAAGCGTAGCTGACATTACTGCCACACGTTTGACCCTAAAAAACATATGCTTATTCTATATTTGCAATTCATCATACTTTTTCCATATTTATATCATCCGAACCCGCTCTGGCGCAATCTTTTTGGGCAATACATGCCATCATTATATCTTGCCAGCCTTCTCCAGTTGCACATCTATAATACGATACATTACACTAAATAGATTAAGATTTCTAACCTGAACAGTAAAATAACGGAGTTGAAAAATGATTGGAAGTTATTATGACGATTGATTTCTGTTGCAGCGTTCAGCCAAATATTTCCAAAAACTTGCATTCCGACGATAGCGTATATGAAGAACAGCATTCCAATCAACAAGCAAACATAAGGTAATGCCTAAGTACACTGTTTTTTTTCGATACTATGAGAAAACAGTACTTTGAAACTTTGCACAAAAGTCCACAGTAAAATTCTAATTGTGTATCCCTGTTGAAGTAGTCGAATCAAACGAGCGGCACGGAATAGACGGAGAAATCCAAGTGATACGAAATGTCCTGAATTTGTCTCCAATTACTAATTCAAATTGAAAGAAAGACAAAACCTCCGAACTCAGTCACAAGAGCATCTGTTATTGATCCCACGACAGTAACAAAATCAAATCTGTTCCAACCATCTCGAAAATAGTTCTGGAATCGATCAAATCAAGCATCGTATGCTACAGATCAAAATATACATACCCGTACACCGAAAGCTAATATTTTTAAGATACTCTCTACAGTGAAAACTGCGGTCAGGGCAGTATTGAACAACCTGGATAACAGTCGAAGTAAGTTTTGTAAAACAAAACACGGACCTCAAAACTTTCTCATAAAAATCAGAGTTTCCATGGAACTTCATCATTAGAATAATAGTATTACAACAGATCATGGCCATGATGAAATATTCAAAAGGAGCTGAAGTAACGAGTCTCCAAATTCTGTATTTGATAGATCCCTTATCTTCTGGCATGAACAGTGAACGAGGTCGAGCATTCAAAGCAAAGTCAATACATTGCTTCTAAATTGGTGGAAACTATCGAGGATAATAGGTTTACAAAAATACTTGGTTCTTATCCAAATCTCCTTCAGACAGTTCAGCTTCTCCTTGTTCTTGGAAAGTGATAATAATCAGGGCAACAAAAATGTTGACGAAGAAGAATGGAAACACAATGAAGAACATCACGTAAAATAGTGCGACCTGTTCAGATTACGCAATGATTTTTGATGATGAACAAAAAGTTACCTCAACCCGGAAAAAGGGACTGGGACCCTGGTTTTCGAATGTTGTATCCATTGAGTTTTGACGAATTCCGGGCCACCCCTCTCCTGTTGTTACAACGAATAGCGTGAGCATAGCATTCAAAGTATTATCATAATTGAAAGGTCTTAATCTCCATTCTCGTTGTTCGACTCTCGGTGGTTCATCCTTAAACTCTATGTTTCTTCAATATAATTCAGATTCTATCAAACCTGGTTATCAAAAATGAAAAACTGGCCGTGGCACTCATGAGAGAATCTTTTCGTTTTGTCAGTACAGTAGAAGAATTTCCCATTGAAAAGCTGGAAAAATATTCAATCAGCGATATTTCGAACGAGCTGTCGAACCTGTACAGCAATTACCCCAAAGATGAACTGGAACAAAAAATAAACAATAAGGATGTTAAATACATTCTTCAACGAATTGACCACACAATCAAAAACTGCCTATAACAAGAAGAAGTTCACTGTAATATTTGATGATTTTTTAACAACCTTCAACTTGGGGATTCGTTTAATTGTTTTTAGTGGACGCAACACACGCAGAACTCTCAATGACTTAATAGTGTTCAGGTTTTTCCCAGCTGTTCCATCCGTTCCTCTGAAATTTCATCATTCACTTTAATTGAGAAAGCATAGGGTGGAACAGAAATTAGTTGTCAACCATGACTTTTTAACTCAAACTCAGAAACTTATTTCAGAAAGGATCAAAAACTTAGAAAAACAATTCTGATGAAAAAATGGAGAATAAAAAAAGGGAAAAAAAGTTAACATAATTGTTTTTCAGGTTCAGAGAAAGGCCTTAGAGTTTGAGAGAAAGTTACAAATATTGAATCACCCTAAAACATCTTACCCATCGATTCCTCCACTGCTCAAACGTTTTATATTATTAAGTAATGATAAAAAAATTTATGAAGCAAGTGTGTTCTAGAGAAGGAATGGGTTTGAAACTCACGCGAATCCAAAAGCAACCAGAGCACATGTAACAACTATTCCGTCCAAGATATTCCAAAAGTCTCGGCAATAGGAACCTGGATGAAGGACTATACCCATATCAATCAGCTGGAAAATTAAATTTAAGTTAGTATTCTAGTTCGGATAATGAGGAACCTTCAACAACATTTCACAAGCAAAAACTCCTGTGAAGCAGTAATCCATAAATTGCAGAACCTTATTTCTAAAGTTCAAACATATAAACAAATATATTGGAAGACGAATACCTAGGATTGTCTTCATCTACAGGATCTTCAGCTGCAAGAGATATGGATGATAAGCAGATTACTCCCATGACAAGCATTTCAAAGTATTTAGTACAAACGACGTTATGTACTAACACTCGTAGTCTGAGGAGAATAATGATAAAGGATTTTACAAAAAACATACGGGTTGGATGGTGATAAGAAGAACATTGATGTGTATGGGACCATTGGTCGAGGTCCTCCAAAAGGTGATTCTTCTTCTTCACATTCTTCCTCTGAAATTTCAAGATTACTATTCGTTGATTTTTGAAACAAACCATCCATTCCTCTTCCACACATATCTCCACCCAAATCATCGGCATCGTCTCCATCGAGATCTTCACTTTCATCCTCTATTTCATTTGCTTTTTCATCCGCTTCCTCAGCTGCTGTTAATTCTTGAGCATTGGCTAAGTTATCGACAGCGATAGCCAAGAAAACATTGAGAAGTGTATCTGAATATAAACATCATTTGCTGACAGGAAAAAAACTCACAATTTCCAAAAAGAACCAGAACGATGAAATAGATACAGTACACCATGCCACCTCCATAGATTCCCCCTTGAGCTTCGATAGCCAAATACATAACTTCATTCCAATCTTCTCCAGTTAAAATCTAGAATAGAACGTACGTGTATCTTTTGAGTCATCTTTGTATTCACTTGGAAGACTGTTATCAAAGCAACTGGGAATGTATCAAAGTGGGTATATGGATGCATTTGAGGGAAGTTGAACCTGAAAAAATTCCATCCAAATATGCTCAGCTATTTTAATATACTCACTTTCCTCCGAAAAGTTGCATTCCCAGTAGTGCAAAGATGAGAATAAATAAGAATAACAGGAAAAGAAGCGAAATAATGGATCTCATTGAATTCATCAAGGATCGTACGAGGTTACGTAATGAAACCCAATACCTAAGATAGAAGCTAATAAAATAATTGGAGTTGAACGCACGATGTCAGTTTGAAGATTCTCAGTAAACGCAGGGCGCGAAGAACTGATATTCCGAAAGATCCCCCTTTAACTTCAGCCCAAACTACTTCGAACGCTGAGCCAACGATAACTATACAATCAAAACGGTTGAACTGAAATTATGAAATTCTGTCCATCCAAAAAAGCATAAATACTTTTGATGCAAAATAAGTTCGTGATCCCATTGCAAAAAGCTTTAAGCAAACCTCCAGGACGAAAATGGCTAGAAATACGTATTCCGCATATTCTGGAAATAGCAATCAATTAATCTTTGTTAACTCTAATACATTACGAAGGAAACGAGTGAACCAATCCGGTTGGCCATAATGCTCAGAAGCAACACAAGCTGTGTTCAAGAACACAAGTGTGATGACACTCCAATAGAAGACTTGGGTTTTCACCATGATTCTTATTTTTATCCGCGCTTGCTTGATTTTTTTGTTCAAGGCATAGAAACATCCTCGTTTTCTTCGATCTGATACATTCATTTATATATATCTGAGTTGTCATTAAACACAAGTGAATACCATATTCTTCTCCATCAACTCCTTCGTCTAAGTACTCTTCTTCTAAGTCTTCTTCTTCTTCTTCCATGTCCTCTTCTGTTTCTGTTGATTGCTGTTTTATGGATTGCTTTATTTTTTTATTCGCCGCTCTTCGTCTCGCTATATTTTTTTCAGATTTTTTGAAAGCTCAAGTTATTAATCAAACCTTCCATGATTGCAGCTTTTTCCTCCTCAGTTGTTCGATCCTCTTTAAGAATAACTTCTTCTGCAGTTAGAATCCATTCTAGATATCCATTCAGCTCTCTCTCAATCTGCTGTTGTCGACGAAGTTTCAGAAACTCTCTTCTATTTTCAACTCGCTCTCTTTCTTTCGCAAACTCTCTGCAATATGAAATTGGATAAAATTTAAAATCAAAAGCTTACCCAGATAGGACTCCGAGAACTAAATTGAGCATAAAAAAAGACCCTAGCACAATCAGTGGAATGAAGTAAGCCCAGTTGTAGGTACTACCCAATGAATCATTTGTCTAAAATACAGTTCAACTAAAGCTTACTTTGCTTCCAACTAACATAATACATAACAGTTGTCCAGCCCTCCATAGTAATACATTGGAAAACAGTTATCATAGCAAAGGCTATATTATCAAATGAGGTAATGCCTTAATAAATGTTGAGAATAACTAAAAGCGAACCGGAATTACCGTAGTTTGGACCTATCCACTTATTCAAACAGACTGTTCCCTCAACATCACAGTTATAAACTCCCATTGTTGTTGTTTTATTTGTGCTATAAGAATAAGCTGAATGTTGGTGTTATCTCTAAATATGATCACAAATAACCTTCTCAGGTTATAACTTGTGGGCTTTCGTTCATATGGAACAAAATCAGCAAGCGTAAGGTTAACACGAATTATCAACGTACCAAGGAAAAGGACGTTCGCTAACGTTCTCAATTTCTCCCCTTTCATTGTAACAAGCTGAGTGAAAAGCTCCAGAGTAGAATTCGAGACCAATTATAGCAAAGATGACAATAGCAAATAATACTAACAATCCAATTTGGAGCAAAGGTGCCATAGCACATAGAATCGATTTTAAAACAACTTGTAAACCTCAATATTTTAAGACATTACTGGTGTGGTTTCATTTGTACTAACTGGGTATTCCAGATACAAGTTTCAATGGCCGTAACACACGAACAGCTCGAAGAGTTCTTAAATCGACCGTTTCTACTTGACCACTGGCCGCTGGCGAGTACGGTAACATCGTAACAACTCTGAAAGGCAATATTCATTTTTTAAAATATTGAAAAAGAAAGACTTACCCTGAGACAACTACTATGAAATCCATTATATTCCATCCTGATCTCAAATATGATCCTTTATGTAAAATAAACCCGAATGCTACAATTTTAAGAACACATTCTAAGCAGAAAATACCCATGAAGTAAGGTTCCGTTCTCTCCTGCATTAAGATGATTATTCAAATTGAAGTTGTAATAACATACTAGCCATTCAGATAATGGTTTTTTATCATTTTTTGGTAAATGTTGCTCCATAGCCAAAACAACACAATTGCCTATGATAGTGAGAAGAATAAAATATTCGAAAGGTCCCCATTCTATAATAGCTTTAGCATTTCGACGAATGATGTTCTCTTCTGAGAATATGAATAACGACGATGGTCCCTGAATTATTTGATCAATTAACCTATCTTTTAAAATCTTTCTCTTTCTTTCTTTTTTTTAAATATCTTCTCTTGTCTTGTTCGGAATAATCTTTCCAGTTCGGGTAAAACAATTAATGCATTTGGCTCGAATGTAAACTTTTTTTTCTGTATGAAACATTCGGTTCCTAATGAATTTATAATGATTTCAGACATATCTCCTCTGCTTTCTCATGTACAAATGTGTTCTTTCCTTGTCACTTATGTATGCTACAACTAAGAGGTCTGTTTGATGTAAGACTTCTAGTAGAAATCTAGTAAAATCCTCTTTCGAAGTGAAGAAAGGCAAAAATAGAAACAAAAAAAGCTACTGCTAATTCTAGCTGAAAGATGTAAGGGGATGGGAGAAGCTTCTCCTTTATCTCTTTTGATGCTACCAACAAAGCAGAAAGAGTAACGACAAGCAGTCAGTGAGAACTAGCCAGCTGCCATGATGTGAATACGAGTTTTAAAGCGATCAGTAAAAGGCAAAAAATTAACAAAATGATAACAGACGGCTGTGAGCTATCTGATCATATGCTCTCTCAACAAAATAATATATGAAAATCTCAAGTAATTTAAAAACTTTGATTTGGCGTATCTCCAAACTTATTACAATTACTAGTTTCTAATCGAGTTACCCCTTTACTCGCAATTTAAGACAAATGGGAACAAGAAACGAAATTGCTGGAAGAGAAGTTGGAATACAACACTCACGCATAATGAAACAAACGTTCCTCGCGGCTCAAGGTGTTTAAATGTTCTAAAAGACGTCAGTGCGCAGGTATTTTGTCAAACTTCACAATATTAGTGTGTGAGAAGTCTATATATATTTATACTATTTCTCGTATTTCCTGATGAAGAAGCCAAAAAGTTAGTTGCTGGTCTGAGATTCAATTTTGAAACTTTTAATGTATATTCATAGAAAATAAGATGAAAAATGGAAGTTTGTTCGAAAATTCCTATTTAAAAGATGAGTGACTACGACAATCTACTTCTTGAATCCGATAAATCTTATTAGTCGTCAAAATCTAAACAACGCTGAAAGATCCAAGCTTACTACCAGATAAATTCATACTATGTCTAGCCAAAAAAATTTATACATATAACTCCGATGTAGTCGCTCCTTTCATTCTATTCCCTGTTCCATCTTTCAAAAGTTTTGAAATATTCAGTTTTGAATAGAATGATGATAGCCTCATCTGAATTACATTACTTCTATGACTACTACTTATCGTCGTTGTTCTCAGTTTTTGTGCAAAATTCTAATTGCCAAAAGGGACAGGACATTCCTATTGATTGTGAATAAAATAGAAACGAGTAGAAACAAGGCCGATGAAGGAGAAGCAGACATATATGAATAGATAGAATGGAGAGAAGACAAAGAGAGGCATTAGTATCTCACTCTTAAGCTTACATTGCTGTCTCTAATTCTCTCTATTTCCATCGAGCTATAGCTTTTGGAGCATTCTTTCTCTCTCGTATTTCATGCTCTTTATATTGTTTTTTTCTTCAGTTAGCTCTCTATTCACATATTCTTTCTTTTTCTTCTATTTTTGTGCTTTTCTCATCTACTACAAACTGAAAAAGGAATAGTTAATTAAAATGCCAAAAGTCAAGGTGGCAATGGACACCCACTATTTGAACACATACATATGACTGATTCAACTTGAAGCTTCATCATACATGAGAAAGAATTCAGTTTTTCGTTTGTTGTTCAAACGTTTTGAAAAATTCGAATACGAACAAATAAAGCACTGAGAACTCTGCATGTGTTTTGCTGTTGGATAATTCAGATTATCATCTGCTTTCTCCAAAAATCCATTATAATAATTGGAAAGCTTAAACGTATTTCTAGCCTCAAAAGAATTACATGGGTTTTTTTTTACATAGATTCACATTATGTTTCAAAAAGCTGTATGATGAAATATGAAACAGGAGGAATTACTCAAACTCGCTACATTGGACAAACGAGCTCCTGACATTTCATCCGAAAGTTGTCAAGGTAACAGCTAGCGCATGTAAACTTTTTTTTTCTGGAATCATGGATAAACGGAGGGAAAACTAGAAACCCAAACCTAAACACATAGTATTGCCTCTTGCCCTTGGGTATCTCACTATCTCTTCTAGCAGAAGGCGGATGCTTCACATATTCCGGAAGGACTACATTCAAGTGAAAACTATATTTTGCTCTTTTCTTCTCATAATCTTCCACTCTTTTCAACTTTTTTCCTTCATTTACTTGTTTGTACGATTTGAGCTAATAATAATAACAGTAAAAAGCATACAAAAGATCAAGATAATATATATATATACATATATACATATATATTTTCAAATCCCTCTTTGATTTCATGTCCGTTCCTCATCTATCCATCTTTCTTCTACACCCCCTCAGTTCCTTTTGGTCCCATTTTCCATGACTACAAACCCTGGGGGCCTTCAGTTGCTTCAAGCTCCACCAGAATCTGCAGGCTTGAATAAGAATCGGTACTGTTAAGCATAATCGTGAACGATGAGGAAGGGTTTTAAAATTTTTTGAAAAAGCATTATGTAACCATTCAACAGTTCAAAGAAGAATTTTTAAAATAATTACCTTTTCTTTGGCTGCTGCTACTCCTCCAGATGAAGATGTCATCTTTCGGGCAGCAAATGAAGCTCCAGCATCGGTCTTCTGCTCCCTCCTTGCCTCCTCGGCAGCGAGTCTAAAATATTAGGTTGAACAGAACATGTGATTATTTCTGCGTTTCAACAAATTTTGTCTTGATTGGAACCCCGTACAGTTGATAGTTTAACTGTTATGTTTCATTGGGTCACGAGCGAAGCTATTGCTGACATTAGGTACAATTAAGATTACAAACCTGGCTATTTGGTCTATACCAAGCATAACTGTATAAAAGTGGCAATCCCCAATAAGGACATGGGTAAAAATATGAAAAATAGATGGGAATTGATAAACGTTCAAAAAGTTCGGGGTTGAGACCGAATTAGACAGGGAAAACTGTGCTAGGTTTTCATAAGACACGCAGACACTGGCGTTGTCTCTTTCCGTATCTGGTTCGAATGTGGGGGGGAGCACTTCTAACTGGAAGCTACACGATCGATGACTTGCCGTCGGCGACAACGTTTTCTGTTCGCACGCGGCAGTCAAAGCGGCAAGTTCCAGCCTTCTTACGACCATATTGGAATAATGTAAGTCACGCATGGTTGATGAGCTGGAGCAGGTGCAGTAAAGATATCTCTCTTCACTTCACCTGTTAGTTTTCTTATAAAGTATGAAAAAATTGCTCATCATAGTGAATTGCCTTTAGTATTATTATTCGAATATTTTAAGCTCTATACCACCATAGCAAATTGAAATTAGGATGAATCAACAGAGTAGAAACTGTACCACACAACGCCAACGTTTGCTCATTACAATTGGATTTTTTATAAGATTTAAGTTTGAAAATATAAAAAAACAAAAATTACCTATCACGTCTTTTCCACATATAACTATAATAAAGAAGCTCAAAAGTACCAGGTTTCTCATAACATTTTATAGCTGATGATGTTCGAGTCATTTTTGAAGAAAGTGTATTGCCGGATGTAGCCGGTAAGAAAAGCTCAAATGGACTGGGATTTACTGAAAGACCATCAAAACGCCAAATGCCAAAAACAATTATTCAATTATAGAGTTTCCAAAGTCATTGTGATTAAACAAATTTCTTAATGACCTAGCTCTGCTCACTCACAAGATTTCACATCAACTTTGCTACAAAACTTTTTCGCTGTTTGTCTCACTTATCTCGCTGATTGAACTTTCTCTATCAAATACAAATAAAAACAAGAAATCGAAAAAGCGTAAATCGGAGTATAGTGAAGTTTGCTTTCTGTTTTGTAGAAAAGTAAGACGGGGTAGAGAGGTTTTTTTAGAAAAAACTGACGGAATGATAGTTAAAAATGGGATGAATGTGGTAAACTTTAAAAAAATATCCATTTTTCTATGCATAACCTTATAGGAAAGGTTGGGCAATCGACAAACAAACTGATGACATGTCAAACCGTTATATTCTTGAAACATCTGATTTCTATTTTTTTTTACCTAGGCAAAGCTGGCCAAACCACCATTTGAACGGCTTCCTTTATCATTTCCCCTGCATGTGGATGAGCCCGTGATTCGAATAATTGATCATCAACGGATATTTTACGGGGATGTATAGGAGAAGCTAATAACTCTAAAATTGTTCACAGGAGTTGAAATTGCTTTGATTCCAATCAATTAGTATACCCGATGCTGCTATTGGAATCATCCATGGTTCTAGACGATCCAAAGATGGTAATAATCGTTGAGAAGTGTTGTTGGCCGCTGAGCGGCCCGGCATAGGGAACCCCAAAAAAAGAAAACAATTTTTAAAAAATGGAATGAAGAATAATAAGAGTTATATTTAAATGAGATGTCTGAATGAAATGAATGAAATGCAGTAGAGCATGGAGTTCTAGAATAATCATCAAAACCAATAAGCTGTTCTTCGCATTTCGACAACTGAAGCGATCAGATATTTTTCGTGCAAGATTATAAAGTTTAGTAAAGTTTAAAAAAAAGAAAGATTCTGACTGGAGATATGAATAAGACGTAGAGGTAAAGACCTTGTTTATATCTCATGGCTTCCGATAGAAAAATGCCCAGATGATTGGTTGAAAATAGATGAACGGGAGAAATTTATGAAAAATACTTGAACATCAATCAAATCGAATTTATTATGAGGAAAGACTTAAAAAGAGTTTCTTTCTCTTCAAATTGAATTATATAGACGTTGAAAAGTAAAATGACCGAAGCGGTCACTGAAGACAAGAGGAAAAAGCCGTGTCACGACGGCTTATCTGTTTACGCGTCTTCTGAACAATTAGACGCTTCTGAAGAATTTGGAATAAACAAGTAAAATACATAACGAAGAAGGAAGGAGAAATCTAGAATTGATCAATAAAACAACAAGGAAAAGGTTTGAAGTTTATTTTGAATGATTCCTCTCATAGGTGAAAAATAAGTGGTTGAGTTTTTGAGAATATGAAGCTAAAGATAGAGTTTTTTTGTTAAGAATCGCTTTTTAAATTATGCTTCACGCAACAGACTTTGTTGTGGCTAACGCGACTGAAGTTGAGAAATGCATTTTCCCGGAGCTATTGCCAGCCATTCGAACTTCTCTTTCAAAAACTTCTTCAACTTCTAATGTCTCCATATAGGATATATAGGAAATGCAATCTCTCCGAATTTCATCATGAAGCTTTTATAGGATATTTAACCAAAATACTTATTGGTTGAAGTGAAAACGTCTGTATCATTTTACACGTGAAGAAAGTAAAGAGAAAAGTATTGAGAGCTTCAAAACCTAAAATCCTTTGATCCTAGCCGTGCTATGAGAAAAGGAAAAAAAGTTGTTTAGTTAAAAAGAGGAAGACGTTATGAGACGAAAGAAAATAGTATAAACGAGAAAATCTATAATAAAACAACTAATGAAGATAAATGAATTGCAGAGAAAACAAAAAGAAATTAAACGGAAATAGCAGATATGTTTTGAAAAGAAGAAGCCTCCTAGAGGTGTGAACAGCACAAACGCTTGGCCTTTGCAATTGGCTTAAAACAGGCTCTCATAGCCCTTAAATACTTGCAGGCATTACGTTTGGTAAAGAAACTGAAGATTGAGGATATAAAGGGAATTATGAGATATTTTGGATAAATTGAATGAATTCTAAGTATAGAGTACATTATTTCCGTCCAAAAATGACTGATTTCTGGCTATTTATGAATGAAAAGAAAAAATTTAAATGAGAGCTGAAAGCAGAAAAAATAATAGTGGAAGAAAGACAGCGTGAGAGAGAGAGAAACCGATATGGAAAGAAAGAGTGAAAAGAGAGAGAGGCAGAGAGAGAGAGGGGAAGAGAGAGAGAGAGAGAGAGAGAGAGAGAGAGAGAGAGAGAGAGAGAGA